CAAGTGTTCTTGTTTTAAGAAATAAAAGCTTTTCGATGCTGGAAATTGCTGAAAAATGGAAGATGTCATTCAACTGTGCATTATATTCCCTTACAGAACAGCGCGAACCGGCTCGTACAGGTGTTATTTAATAAAGGTGACAGCCGGGGACCTGTGAGATGTCTGTTTCCTAAACTAGAGATTAATATATGCTTGTCCTCCTGCTCAGGTTTCGTTCCGGGGTCTAACATTTTCCGTTTGAGTCTGAACTGGAGCAAGTTTCCACTTGTTCTCCTAGAGGGAGTAGAACACACTATTGCGTGAATTTCTTTCCCTTTTTTGACAGTTTCCTACAGAGAAAAGCCTTTGTTTCTGGGAACAAGTACATTCTGACGAGTTTTAGAAGGAAGTTCCTTTTTTGTTGGTTTTATTGAGAGTACAACCCAAACCATAAAGACTGCAGCAGAATTTTTGCTTCTTTCATCAGACCAGTTTTCAGCTCTCGTAATTTTTTTTAAAGGATGTCACATGGGATGCTTTCTTTCACATTAGTTAACACAAAAAAAATCTATTATGCCAACAGAGCACTTCACTCTAAGACTGCAGGCTTACTTGGAGTTGCAAGAGTTTCCAAAAGTGGAATGAGAGCCAGAGTGTTGAGTTATTAGTTAAACAATGAAAAACTGTACCTTTATTTTGCAAATAAAGATACAGTTTTGGATTGTTTCGGGGGCGGCTGTGGGTCAGGAGGTGGAGCGGTCCGTCCGTCCATTATCTTCCACTCATATAATTCAGGGTCACTTGAGGGCTGGAGCCTGTCCTAGCTACTATAGGGCGAGAGAGAGGTACAGCAGGTCATCTGCTAATTAAAAGTTTGGTGGTTTGATCACTGGCTGCTCTAGTATGCACTCCCAAAGCATCTTTGGTCATGGTGGTGAACCCTGAGTCGCTCCCTAAGCATTCACTGGAGTGTGAATGTTAGATAGAAAGCTTGTATAAAGTGCTTAGAGTGCTTGTTAGTTATTACTAATCCCTGTCTCTCTTTCACAGTGTATCCTCTGTCCTTCCCTCACCCCCAACTGCTTGTGGCAGATGGCCACCACTCCTTGAGCCTGGTTCTGCTGCAGGTTTCTTCCTATTAAAAAAGGGAGTTTTTCCTTCCCACTGTTGCCAAGTGCTTGCTTGAGGGTACTATTGTTGTAATTTAGGACTATATGAATAAAACTGAACTAAACTGATTGAATTGCTCAAGCAGAGTAGTAAAGCTATATAAGAACCAGCCCATTTACCATTTACCAAAATTATTACACCTGATGGAGAGCCCAGGAGTTTGAAGGCATTTTAAAAAGTAAAGAGATTCAGACATATTGTGGGTTCAAATTTTAAATACACTTATAGCGGAGTTATGTTAACTCTATGGCCACAGAGACACTTAAATGGATCGGTGACACATGTATCTTATCTGCTAGGACAAGATGCAAAACACCAAATCTGTCTAACGGTTCAGTCTGACTGTAGTTCCAGCATTGAACCTCAAGGGGT